TTGAAGGTGAAACTAATTTTGAAAGAAAAGCAAGTTCGCATGGTTCCTTTAGTTGCCCGTTAGATGAGAAAAAAGTACGGCGAAGGCTTGAAAGTCCAATTGTAAGCCTTAACGTACAGAATTTCTTTCCAGTAGAGGCAAAACTTTCTTAGAATGTTATGAACCAAAAACCAAAGTCAACAAGTAAAGAATTTCATTAATCTATTCACCCCAATCAAGAAAAAGTGGATACAGCAGTTGTTTGATTATACTTGAATTCAAGCCTCTTTGCAGTGATATACAGCTTGCTGACATTAATAAACAATTAACAGAAAAAAGAGCGTCAGCAACTGCCTATGGAAGAGCTGGGTTACGTAGAGGGCTCGGTACAAGACTTGAGGCACCCTTGAGCCCAACGAAATCCCCAACAACTCTAAATTACTGTAATCCAATGAAAAGAGTAGCACTGACAATTGCATGAAATCGAAAATTTTCTTAGAACATATTACATTCAATTGTCTCTTTTTTAAAATTTATGAGCGCTAAGCGTATGCCCTTCCGCCATCTTGATCTCAATCCTTGCTATTCATTACGATATTTTTGCGCGTTTTTGATAATTTTAACCGTGCGACATTTTTATGTAGACATTTTTTCAAGGGATATCAATAATTTGCTTTATCCTACCAACATCTAAATAATGATTTCAATAAAGACAACTTGGTTTTGGTAGACGAACTACACCTAGCACAGGAGGGGTTTTTTAACGCCCAATCTGTGAAAAAAAATTGTTTTTGGTAATTAGAGCACAAGACATTTCATGGCAGCCTTGCCGGTGATTAGCCGACTGCGCGCTCCTTTACTTACTACTTACATTGACTTACTCTTTTCACTTCGATGCAGCAATCATTGATACCACAAAGGAATACTGGCACACATTGACAGATTATACTTAGGTTCAAGTTTCGCCGTTTTTTGCTGAACTCCTCCCTCGAATTTCGTTGCGCGTAGGTGGTATATTGACACGTCGCTGCGTATCTGTGACATTGTCCCTCAAGTCCCAGTTAATCAAGTT